GTTCACTTAGAGTTCACTAAAGCTAGTGATAGAAAAGCATACCATGTAAGCTGTTTGAACAGATGTGTTCTCAGGAGCCAACAAGCCACTGTGGTTTCTGTGTATCTTCCTCAAGGTGTCTGTGGCATGTTTGGAGAAGCTAATGCTGGCATGAGGGCAACTGGCTGGCTGCTTGCTTGACAGTCTTCCCAATGAAAGGTCGAACTGTTGCCTTGGTCACTTCCTTGAAGGATCATCAATTTGAAAAGCTAGTTGTTAGTTTCAGGAGGGAGGTTAGAGTATGCGATAAGTGGTTGCGAGTGATCATATTCCATGGGTGAGTGCAGGGGTGAAAGTGGAGAGACCCAGTGCCATTCCATATTGCTTCCTCATTCCTTGAAGAATGTACCAGAGACTTGGTTCTGTAGCAGAGTGACTGGTGCCACCTCAGCCATAGAAGTGCACAAAAGAAGCACAGCCACAGTGAATTGCTTGGGGAGGTCCTGCTATCTGTCCCAGGCTTTCCTTTATTCACTGGAGAACGTTTACTCAGCTGCAGGGGGAAGAAAACGCATAAGAGGCTATAGAAAGAAGACCTATTTTCTCCCCTCACAATTGACCACCTTGGTGGAAAGAAAAACCTGTGGATTTTATTTTGTGTGTATATGCTGTTGTTTGCTTTGGCTTTTGTCCTTTATTAAGGTTTTTTTTTTCTCTGGTTGGGGACTGATAAATCATACCTGTAATCAGCCAGTCCCAGCAGGAAAGTCCAGGAGACAATTATTGTCCAAATTAATAGCCAAAATAAATGAAATGGAGCTGTGGTTCAAGTGGTAGAGCACAAGCGTTGAGCAATAAAGGCTCAGGGACAGTCATTTGGTGTAGGCCCTTAAAAAAATTAAGGTATTTCTTAGGGATCCTGGTAAGTTCCCAAGCACGAGTTGTTCTAGAAGCCTGAGCATGGCATGAGGTCCCACTCAGCCTCTGTCTGTTCCATCTCTCTATGGATTTTTCCTTTCAGTAGTCTTCCTGTAAGGTCCTCAGTAAGTCCACTGTAAGGTCCTGGGGGAAGCATGCACTCTAGCGTTTGGACTTACACTTTCCAAAATGTGAGCTGAATCAGCCTCCTCTTTTCTTTATGAAGTTAAAAGAAAATAAAGACATGTCAGAGGACATTCAGAAAATTGTGGTATACACTTAAAAAGTTTTACTTTAAACAATTACAGTATGATGCAACGTATTTCGTTAGTCACAAGATTTTAAGTAATAGTAATAAAAATAGTAATAAAACTCAGTAAAATTGAAGAACTAGCTCTTTGTTTTGTTCCCAATCGGATCAATATATTTTAATGATGTACAACTTTTTAAAGTCAAATTGAGGATTTAAAGCTCTTCCCAAATGTGAATCTACATTAGTTTCCTATTGTTCTTTATGTAATAAATTACCATAAACTCAATGGCTTAAAACACGACAAACCTATTACTGTGGCATCTATCAGAAGCCTGAACATGGAAGATACACTGGGCTATTAAGAGGCAGGGTTTGTACTCTGTCAAAAACTTCAGGAGAAAAGTTGGTTTCTTTGTCTTTTGAGCTTTAAGATGTCACCTACAGAACTTTACTCTGACCCATTCCCTAAATCATCGAGAAGGACTCTTGTGATTACAAAGGGCCTGCTTGGATAATCCAGGGCAAACACAAGTCTTCAATGTCCTACACTAAATGTTCCTCTAGCAAGGCAAGCATATATATTGGTCTAGGGGATTAGAACCCGGTCCTCTACAGGAGTCATCTTTCTGCCTTGTGTGGGAAGATCAGAACTAAAACCACTCCAGGACCTCTTCCTTTCCCACTATGCGTGTTTTGCTTTTAAATGTAGTTTGAGTTTACATTTTTCTAAGCTCTCCACAGAATATTACAGAATACTTATTACCTACAGGTCTCAAAGGACCCCACTTCCAAATGAGAGAAACAGAAGTTTTCACATAATGTGACTGCTATAAATTGGCATAAAGTAGCGGAAACTACTTTTTTTCCTATCGTATGGATAATGTGGAACTTATTGTTTTTACCTCTATAAATATATGCAGAAAAATACTGCAGTTTGTTCTTTTGTACACAAGTTGATCTGCTAGATATTGTTAATACACAGTACCAAGACCTAGAGATTCTTAGTGAACAGAGCTAAGTTAATAATTGTACTTAAGAACAAATTTATAAGGTTTGATGATAGAACATGAGTCTATGATAATTATTAAGACAAGCTTCTTCCATACATTTGCATATTATATTTTAACCACACCATCCTTACCTGCAAACCTCTTTCCCTTTTTTCGCCCTCCCTGCAGATTCTTTCTTATCCTCTTTCAGTTTCTTACAAATTTCATTTCCAAATGTGAGAGAAAACATGTCTGGCTTATTTTGCTTACCATGATATATCCAGTTCTATTTATTTTCCTGCAAATGGCTCAATAATTGTTTGTGTGTCTACATATATACATATATTCATGGTTAAAGAATATATGTATATATACACTTTTATCTAGTCATCTGTTGAGTTTGTAGGCTGATTCCACATCTTGTCAGTTATGATTGTTGCTGCAATAAACACAGGCATGCAAATATACCTATTGTGTGTTGACTTCATTCTGGTATGTACTTGGGACTGGCATAGCTGGATCGTATGGAGGCTCTATTTTTAGGGTTTTTATTTTGAGGAACTTCCACAGTTTTCTTCAATATCTATAATAATTTACATCCCAATCAAAAATATATAAAGATTACCTTTCCTGCAAACCCTTGCCAGCATGTGTTATTATTTTTTCTTTGTGTTTTTGGACGGTCTTGCTGTATAGCCCAGGCTGACCTCAAACTGGTGATCCTCCTTCCTTGGCCTTCCCACTACTGGGATTATAAATCACATAACAAGCTTGGATTTTAAGAAGTTTTGTAGCTGGGCACTGGTGTCTCATGCCTGTAATCCTAGCTACTCAGGAGGCTGAGATCTGAGGATCATGGTTCAAAGCCAGCCCGGGCAGGAAAGACCGTGAGACTCCTATCTCCAACAAACCACTAGAAAACCAGAAGTGGCACTGTAGCTCAAGTGGTAGAGCGCTGGCCTTGAGCTGAAGAGCTCTGAGGGACAGCACCCAGGCCCAGAGTTCAAGCCCCATGACCGACCAAAAAAAAATAAGTTTTGTAACAACTATTTTACCTGGGATGAGATGGAATGTGCATTTTTTTCATATAAAATATTAAAACATTTTTCTCAAGATTAAGAATAGAAAGAACAGCTTTAATTCTATATTTAGGTAGAAGGAAAAGGAAGATTAAAAAACTTTCAGGTAACTTTCTTATGTGGTTGTTTGCAATATACATCTCATCATACAGCTTCCCCTCCCCCCGTCAAATCGAAAGTATCAGCTGCAACTCATGATTTATATAAGGTTTATACCATAGTCAAAGAAACAGATTACCCCATTTGCCTGTTCTTTTGTTTTGTTTTTGTTTTTTAGAATAACCAATCCACAGCCATATCTAGAGTCTATGGGTCTTAATAAGGCATAGTTGCACAGTTGGCGTGGTACTTCCCACAGTTATTTCCAGCCTTTCCAGTGAGTTTCATGATCATCCTGCTCCTTTCAAGAATTTGTGAATAATAAATCCATCTGCTGTTTTATATTTTATTATGCTGCTTCTTGTAGTGCCTCACCTGACTGAGCAGTAACACAGCAAAACTACCCCTGGCCTAATAGAGCTCTCCTGGAGTGGCTTTTTTGGATTTTTAAGGATGCCCTCAAGAGAAAATGCTGTAAGAATCTGGAAAGCAACTATTAAATAAGTACACCATGGTGCTTGCTTTTTTCACCCAAGGGTGAGTATTTGACAAATTTTAGCTAACATGGGAACTATCCATTACTCATTATGCATGCAACAATGATAAAAAGAGCTTAAGAGGAGACAGTTTTTATTTTTATTTTTTTGCTTTAAATGCAAATGGAAGAGGTAATGTAAACTGGGTAGTTTCAATGATCAAGATTCTTTTCATGATATTCATATTGATGGATGAAGACTGATAATTGAATTAGCAAGTAATTGCATATACTTTAGTTATCATTAATTTATTCAATCACCATTCAGTTAATAAATATTAAGCTTCTTTTACATTCTAGACCTTGGGCACACAACCCAAACCAAAAGAAAAAAAAAAAACAGGGTCTTGTTCGGGGGTAGTTCACATTCCAGGGACAAATACAATAGTGCTTTGGCACTTCAAATGCTCCATTATATTTTCAAGGTAAACACCTCGAGCAAGCACGGTACTAAATAAGGGGAAGAAATGCTTCAGGCTTGGAATTCTTCAACTTGTTATACTCACGGGGGGGGGGGGGGGGGGGCTTAAGACTGCTTGGGCAATAGCTGTGCATCCTTACACAGGTCACATACTCTTCTTAACCCTGTTTCTCTGTAAAAGAAAAACAATCCGACTTTTCCTAATGGCTAACTAGACAGACCTACCATGGCTTTGACCCTGTAGGTCCGAAAATTGTGAGGGCTTTAGAGAACCACCTGAAAGTCTTTTAAAACATCCCAAATCCCAGGCCGCACACTGGACTGATTAGACCCTGATTTTTGAAGGTGGAACACTGATCTCAGAAAGCACTGCCTCGTAGGTGCCAATGGGATGACAAATTTGGCAACTTCTTGACATGGCAGCCCACCTGTCTTCAGGTGGAATGGGAAAGCTCCTGGAGTTAAAACAGGGAACAGGCCCATCCTCATGATCGATCCCCTCCTGTGATCTGAATTCTTATTATTCCTCCTCAAGTTAAAGTGGGGAGGAATGGGAGCCAGTAACTGCACACACATAACTGTTTTTGCACCTAACCCCGAAGTACGAGAGGACTTCCAGGGGCGGCCGGATCCTCCTGGAAAGAGGATTGCAGGAAGCCCGCACTACCCCGGGGCGCCGGGCCCAGCGCAGAGGCTGCAGCCGCGTTAGCGGGGAAGACCTGCGGGTTCCGGTACAGCCACGGCAGGTCCGGCCACGCGGGAGGGCGCAGTCCGCGGCCTGCCTTCTTCTCCTCTCTCTCCACCTCCTCCTCCGCCGTCCACCCCGGGCCGAGCGCAGCAGCAGGCGCGCCGCCATGGAGCGCGGGTCGCCGGGAGCTTCGAGGCCTGTGGAGCCGGGGCCTTGCCTGAGTAGCCTGCGGGGCGCGGAGCCAGCGGCCTCGGCCTCAACGCTGAGCGCCGCCCGGGCCCAGCCCGGGAGCCGCGTGATCGCCGTGGCGGCCGTGCTGCCGGCCGGGGGGTGCGGGGAAAGAATGGGAGTCCCCACCCCGAAGCAGTTCTGCCCCATCTTGGAGCGGCCGCTCATCAGCTACACCCTGCAGGCCCTGGAGAGGTAAAGCGGCGCCGGGCGTGCCCGCTCCCCCGCGCCGCGCCCAGCCCCGCGCCCCGCGGCGCCGGGGCCCCCACTTCCGCCACCTGCTGCACCCCACGCGAAGGTGGGGTTTCCTCAAGCTGGAGCCCCAGTCCCGCCAGCCTGTCAGAGATGGGAAGCTCTGACTTGATTGATTGATTGATGATTGATTGAAACAGCTGCCCTGTGGGTGCTGTTCGTGCTCCCTCAGGAGGGCCAGGCCGGAGCAGGCGGCTGCACGGAGAACGTTCCGTTCTCGCTGGGGCCGGGATGAGGAGGGGTGGGAACCCTTCTGGAGTCGGGGTGTAGCGCGCTGCTTCTGCGCACGCGTGCTTTGAGCGGTGCGGTGGACGCACCTTGGGGACTTGTGCCTAGATTCGCTGAACATTAGCTGATCATCTTCTGTGAGGCGCTGGCCAGGCGTGGAATATGAGGAGAGGAGGGAGATGTCACGCTAAACTTCCAATGGTGGAAACGAATTGGGGAGTCACCCACTGTCAACACATACTTATCTTTTTAGAAAAGGGACTGAAGCTAACTCCAAAGGAGGGTGAGGGAAAGGGAGAAGGGAGAGCCGGTCAGTAGAACTTAGGAAGGGGGGGGGTGCAAATGACTAGTATGTTTTTAAAGCGCCCTAGTAATGTGATGGATGAAAAACTGGTTACAAAGGTCCACATAGTTTGTCAAGTTGTTTAAAGTTCTTTTGGAAGCCAGTGGCGAACTGGGATAATATGGCAGCCTTGAATTTGTTTCAAGTTGTGAAGCAAGAATTTATTTTGTTCTTGGTAACCATTGAATGCAGTCCCCTCAAAACCTACAGCAGGAGAGTTCTTACAAAAGAGGGCCCCAAATTCCTCTGAGATGGTGCCTTTTGAGATTTGAAAGAAAGAAGCACTACAAGTCAGGGCAGTGAATCCAATGTATTTTTTATTTTTCTGGAATTTACACAATGCATGACAGTGAATACAAAGGGTATGCTGCTACATAGATATGTCTGCTTGAGGGGTTAGGGGATGGAGTTGGTGAAAATTTAAGGAACTTCAACTTAGGACCAGGAACTTTGTCTTTCCTTCTCCAGGAAACAGTCTGAAAAGCTTTGTGAGTGCCTGGTAATGTTCAAGGACCTGGCATGGGCTAAAGATTGCTGGGAAAAATCTGCAGCCATCTGGGTCACATAATTGTGAAGGTACAGTGTGATGTTTCAGTCAAGGGAAACTTGAGGGGAACATGGAAGTAAAAATTCTTGCCAGTATTCTGATTTCTGGTTTCAAATAGGTAAGGAAACCAAATGTCTTTGTGTGTGTGTGTGTGTGTCAGTTGTGGGGGCTGAACACTGGGCCTGGGCACTGTCCCTTAGCTCTTCAGCTGAAGGCTAGCGCTCTACCACTTGAGCCACAGTGCCACTCTGGCTTTTTTCTGCTTATGTGGTGTTGAGGAATCGAACCCAGGGCCTCATGCATGTGAGGCAAGCACTCTACCACTGAGCCAACTTCCTATCCCCACCAAATGTCTTTTTAAGAAGGTTGATTATCCTAGATAGCTAAAAAGCCAGATAGCGTGACAGTGACAATGAGATCAACTATGCGAGGTAAACTTGGTCCATACTTCTTTTGACCTGGAAGATGTACAGTTAATGTATGCTAATGAAAAAGAAAATCATATCTGAGAGAATTAGTATCTGAACATGGACTCTATTGGTTCCTCTGAGAATAGATATAAAGAAGGACTGACAGGGATTTTCTTAAAGGTCTGAAGTTTCTTGAGTTTCTGAGGTGGAGGATTCTGCTTAGCATAACATGTTATTTCATATTATCTATACCTGACAAATTTGACCTCTTAAGTCTTCTACAGATGATGTTCTGCCACACTGGTAAAAAGCATTTCCAGACTTCATGACTCAGATGTACATCATTATGTATTAATAAATTGGTATTTAAACCAATTTAAATCTTCTCCTTAGTTTGCTTACAGTAAATTACTATTGATCTCTCAAATTTGAAAAAAATCAGTTTTTAAATTGGTATGCAGATATATATACTCAAGCTTGTGATAGAGATTCGATTGCATTATTGCTTGCAACACCAATGGGGTCCATGTTTAGTTATTGTTTAACACTTGTTTAAGATGTAGTTTTCTTTCTTTCTAGTAGTGTAATTAAAAGCATAACTCATGTTTCATTATGACTCTTTATACATGTATATTTTGAACTTTGATTGTATTCATTTCATCATTATTTGCCCCTCCCACTGGTCCCTTTCCTCTTCCAAGGTATAATTTTTCAATGTATTAAAATATAAAATTTGGACTAGGAAGGTGGCTCAGTGGTAGAATGCTTGCCTTGCATGCATGAGGCCCTGGGTTCGATTCCTCAGCACCACATAAGCAGAAAAAGTCAGAAGTCACCCAGTGCGTTCAAGTGGTAGAGTGCTAGCCTTGAGCTGAATAGCTGAAGGACAGTGCACAGGCCCAGAGTTCAGGCCCCACAACTAACAAAAAAAAAAAAAAATATATATATATATATATATGTATATATATAATTCTAGCTTCTTTTTTCTTTCCTTTTTTAATAGCCATTTAACTTTATTATTATTACGTGTGTGTGTGTGTGTGTGTGTGTGTGTGTATGCGCTGGTATTGGGGCTTGAACTCCGGGCCATGCCCTCTCATTTGTCCTTTTCTACTACTTGAGCCACACCTCCACTTCCATTCTTTCTTTTCTGAATGTTTGCCTTTCTTTAATTTTTGTTTGATTATGTATATTAAACAGTCATTCTCACCTATGGTATTTATGTAAACCGCAAGATAGATGAGAAGTAAATGCACAGATGTTTGTCCACTGATCATGTGAATTAAACTGTGATATAAAGAATGAAGTGAGGAAGATGGGAGAAATATTTAAGAAGTAGAATTGGTGGGTTTCAGTGATCAACTGCATAGAGATTCAGAAAGAAAGATCTTTAGGATGATTTCAGTTGCGTAGGGAGGTATATTTATTGACTAATTTTTTTTTTTTAACTTAAGGCTTCATCCTAAGTCTGAATGAAGGAAATGAACAGGATGACTGCATTTTTGTACAGATCACATGATTAAAAGTTTATGTTGAGTTCCCAAAGGCCCCATATGAGACTTGTTTAGTAGCTTGAGACTAGATAGATATCTGGAAGCCTTAAGGCACTACTGAAAGAATTGACACTTTGAAGGCAATAACAATCAGCCCATCACACTCATTTGTGGGTTTGGAGAGGAGGAGATCTATAGTCAAGGCTACAGTGAAATTCAGTGAACAAGTTTCCATGTAGGCTGTCAAAATTCTGAGTAACAGCTGCCACTATCTCTGTGAGGCTTAACTTCTGTAGCCGTGATGAGAATTTTTTGATTGTTATTGTTGTTTTTTTTTTTCCTTTTTGGAGGAATTAATAGGGCATGGTTTTTCCTGTATTCTAAAAAAGACTCTAAATATTCTGTTTGTAATTGATCTTATTAAACCAGAGTATGCTTGTAAGTAATATTTGTTATTTTAAGAGAAAATAACTTCTGAGACATTGTATTTCTTCCTCGAAATGTCCATAGGTATTCTGGTGCTTGGGGCCAGGTTTATATCTGCTATGGAATGTGCTAGGAAGGAAATAATCAAGAGAACTTGATAGAAATAGCGCTGCTGGGGTTTGGTGTAGACATGCCTTCAGCGAAGAGGCAGACTAGATGCCTTTATTCAGCAAATATTTGTTCAGTAGGCACTGTGTGAGGTACTTAAGGCCTTTTATAGTCCCATGGTTTTACATTATTAAAAGCTTTCTACAGTATTAAAATTTAATTCTATAACTAGAAAAGAATGTGAATAAATCCTTTGAAATACAAACAATACTTATAAAGGCTTGCAAGTCTTGGGTATATCCTTAGTTGCTGAACAAAATAGCATAATAAGCTTGCTATCTCTTGAGTGGTCTAAAGCAGTATTTTCTAAACTTTTATTTTCTGTGGTGCTTTCCCCCTTGTTTTGTGCTATGGAGTCTAACTTTCCTGATCAACAATGTTGATCTGAACTAAACAGATTACCAGATATATTATTGAGGCCTGAAGTGTTCAGTTTGAGAAACACTGGTTTAAACTTTATTTTTAAAGCCTAATATAATTGTTTGGAAATAATCAAAGGCCATAGGTATATTTGTTAGTAAGTATTTATATTTATCTTGTCCCAAGCAAAATATAGTCATGCTAGTGAAATTAGGAGTTAGTGAATTAAATTATTGAACAGATATTTGAATAGCTACTTTGTTGTATGATCGCTTCCAGTTTTCTTATTTCTTTCAACTTTTAATTCTTTTGCATTTTAGTTTTTCATTCAGTGTGCTTTTCATTAAAAATAACAATATGATCAATTGCTTAAAGGGCTGCTTCTAACAGATTTTGCTATTTGTGACCTAATAATTTCTCGCCTTGTGACTTAGTTGAACATTTCTTGCGATTTTTTTCTTATTAAAAATAAAACATGTCTGAGCTAAAGTTCAGTGGTAGAGCACTTGCTATGTGATATCATATTAAATAATTGACATATATTCAATTGCTTTTAATAGTTTCCTATAAAGTCAAAAGTGTTTTTTAAACAATTGAATATATTAATTAATTAATTAATTAAACATATATTGACAGATGTTGTTTGATGTAAAGAACTGTGTCAATCTTGTTCAATATTCTATCACCAGTGTCTGGTATAGTACTTGCCATGTTATTATGGGCTTGTTTGTTGTATGACTCAGTTGACACATGGATGAAGGAATACCTACTTTTGCTTCAGTTATTGGAAATGATAAGAAATTGACTCTTATAAAAGCAGTAGTTACATGGTTCAATCCTAGTAGCATATGTTAAGTGCTGCAGGCAAAATGATTCAGAATAACACTCTCTCACCTGAATGTCATGCCCTCTGAGGTATCGTATATTTACAGAGGTTAAAGGTATGAACTCCAGAGTCATATCGGGGAATATAGCGTGTTTCTTTCATTTTCTGTCTGTGATTATGGCACTTTATCTTCATGTGTAAAATTGAGATAACAGTAATTTATCTCATAGAATTGATACAGATATTAAGTGAGGTCCTATAGGCAAACTGTCCTCCACAGGCAATGACAACTAACAAATGTTCCACAAGTCTTAGGTGTTTCTACTTTTATTATTATTGGAAGATAAATGTCCTCTAAGTTCTGAGGTTTTCTGTGCACTCCTTTATGAATTGGCAGCCTTGTGAGAGGGACATTAAACTAGAGTGTACTGTGATGTTTAATAATCCTCTGGGTGTGAGCCTTCAGAAAGTGAAAAGCAGGGAGGTTGCATTCAGAAGAGCAGTCACAGGAAGTTTCCTGATAGTGCTTGTGACTGAACCTCTGAGACATGAGGATTACATCAGTCTCAGACAGGGCTGGCTAGGATCAGGAAGATACAGAGGGTGGTAGGCAATGTTGAAAGGCACAAAAATAAGGTGGAGAGGGAGAGACCTGTATGAGAGAAAAAGGATTTCTGTCATTAGGGAAAAACTAGATGTGAGTTGTGGGTTGGGTGGGCTTTACGGTCAGCTCTCCAAAAGCTCACAGGGGATGGCTTCAGAATTTGTACTTGAGAAAGATGATCCAGAAGTGGCAAGAATGGGTTGTGTTGGAGTGTGAAGAGAAAACAGCCAAGAACTGGATGCAATAAGTAACAGGAGAGTTGAAATTATGAGAGAATGAAGGGTCACGGCTTTATAGGAGTGGAGTCAGAACATTGGGAGAGTCTGCACTGGGGAGGTACTGAGCCTGTATCAACAGGGTAAATTCTAAACTTCAAGTAATAGTGTTAATTCTAGAACTGCTGAATTTTTCCATGGAAGGAAGGGAGTTTGGCTACCAATCAAACCAAAGGGTAACATAGTCTTGTTCCATAATCTCTTTCATGGCCTACAAAGACAGTTATTTGGCATTCTGTGTATGTAATGTTTTTATTTGTGATTAAAATCTTCTAGAGGTGTCTGATAAAATATATTAGTAATCCTGGCTCTCAAGAAGCCTTAGGGCCTAGAAATAAGAAAAGCCAAAACAATACAAACAACCAATTATACTGCATAGGCAATGATAATTTCATTCTTCTTCTTCTTCTTCTTCTTCTTCTTTTTTTTTTTTTTTTTAAGGGAGTGTGGTATGTGTGAGTAGCTATCTAGAAAATGAGGAGCACTATCAAGTCCATGGGGATTTAGGAAATGTTATACTGCTTCCAGTCATATTTTCCTCAGGCAATGTTTGTTTATGGGACACCTACTAATAGTTCTGTAATTAGGCAATGGAAAAAGTAGCTGTTGTCTCTACTGTCACTGAACTGATATTCTAGAAAGTGAAAGAAAATGGAACCTTGTATTGTCTTAATACTGGTATTAAAACTGGTAACTTTTTCTACTTCAAGTTCCTTTTAAAGTTGTAATATATAGATATAATGTATGTGTTAATCTATCTTTCTGACAGTGTAGGGGTATTATTGTGAAAATTAGATGAATTAAAACATGAAAAGTATTTAAGATATAGTAAGTGCTTAATTCTTGCTAGCTATCATTTTATGTTAATGTGATACTTGATTTATTATCAAAACTTACCTGTTTTAGCATGAACATAGAGTATTTCAGAGGCTAGTAATTCCATTAAACATTTTTTTTTAGTGACCTTCATTCAGAGTTGATAACATGGCTCACAGGCAATTGTTCTGGTTTGAGCCTGTTAAGTATGGTGCATTACTCTACAGTGACAACTTTAATGACTTGTGTTGCCACTGTCAACACAAATTTCCTTCTTTTGGTAGTAACTCAGTACTGTATATTGTTGAGTCCAGTAGGCCGGCAGGTCCCCCTTTAGCACAATATTATATTTGATGCCACTCACTAGAACCAATTCCTTGAATGTCACAGAATTGTGCGTTTATTTTTTTTTTCATTTAAACCTATAAACTTAATTCAATCGTTTTTTTTCTCTACTTAAACTACATAGTATCCTCGATGTAGGCAAGATTTCTGTTAGAAGAGCAATCAGGTTGCCAGCTCAATGGATTCCTGGAAAGAGACAGTCAACTTTTGAATTCAGAAGTGCTTTGAGTTGCCCTTATCCCATTCAGAGGGAAATATTAACAAAAGTATAAATTTTAAAAAATATTTTTAGTGTCTGTTGTTTAGACAACTAATGGTACTAATTGAAAATTAGTGATACTGTTGGAAATTAATTGAAGTAAAAACTTTGACATCTGTGACAATTGTGGTATACTATATCCCAGGTAAAGTACCATCTGTGTCTAGAATGTGAAATGCTCATTGACTTTTCATCCCCTCTCCCCACCCCCTTTTTAAAATCAGACCTAGCAAAAATACATAGAAGTGATTTAACTTTTAGCCCTCAGGTTTTTATCCACCTGTGTAAAATGCTGATACTTATTAGTATTGTAATTCAATTTTCCTGTTTGTAGCTGTAGATGTTTAAACGTATGCATGTTTTCTTTCAGGGTATATTGGATAAAGGACATTGTGGTGGCAGTGACACGAGAGAATATGGGAGCAATGAGGAATATTATTCAGAAGTACCAGCATACACGCATCTCACTCGTCGAAGCTGGAGAGACTCGTCACAGGTCAATTTTCAATGGTCTGAAAGCCCTGGCGAAGGATCAGCCAGACACCCAACTCTCTAAGCCAGAAGTTGTGATTATCCATGATGCTGTCAGGCCGTTTGTTGAGGAAGATGTCCTCCTTAAAGTTGTTGCAGCTGCTAAGGAACATGGGGTGAGCGTTTTTACTCCTGAGAATGGATAAAAGGGCAAGGGTTCTAGTAAGGTGATTTGTTGAAGTTCGATAGACATATAGAAGTAAATAAAAATATTGTTCAAGTGGGCATGATGAACTTCAGATGTTATGGTGCATAGTATTGTAGATTGTGAGTGTGTTTTGGAATTTCTTTTGCTGTAGACAGTGTATTGTAATATGAGATATTTGAAGAAGACACAGTAATGGTATTATTACAGTATAATATAGCAAATAGTTTGATGGATTGGTCATGATGCATTACCTCAAAGGACTAAAATTAGGGTGGCTGGCATTAGAGTTGTATGTATACAGATGCTCAAAAGTGTGTCAAGGCCCAGTTTTTTTTTTTTTCTGTATGTCTCCCAGACCCAGTTTCTCTATATACTGCATTCTCTGGCTCCATCAGGAGGCAAGATGTCTTCTATAGGGCAAGTTATGTCTCCCTTACAGTTGATAATGATGTGCGTATAAAATTCTAAAAGTACAGATTTCCCTCCATTATTGTGAAGCAGATTATGTCATTTTCCCCTGGTTTTTATGCTGCCTTGTGAAAAGTTTGTTAACATACAAAATTGTATTCCTTTGAAAGTAATCCATATCTTCTTTTTCAAGTATATATTTTCATTTTTGTTGGCTACTCAGTTTCTATGTTATATCTAGATTTGGGTTTCTCTTTTTTTAATCTTCCTTTTGATAATTGTGTTATGAATTTTGAGTTGTATCTTTTTGTTCTAGAAATTTCTGAGCAACTATCTGATTGAATATTGATTCTCTAGCATATTATACCTACACCTGCTTTTTTCTCTTTTTATGAATTGTTATATATATGCTTTTTATCCTATTTTTATGTTTATTAAGTTCTTTCATATTTTCATGATTTTGTTTGCTGCATGCTGGGTAATCTGTTTTCTATTTCATTTTTTAACTGTGTCTAATCTTCTGTTTGAGGATTTAAAAAAACACTAATATTTTCTAATTCTTTGGAGTCCTTTTTAGTCCTTTTTTCAAATCTGATTAGCCTGTTTTTGATTTTGCATTTTGTTTCTTAATATTTAAACTATTTATTCAGTACTACTAATTGTACTTCTTGGTAGTTCTCCAAATTTTTATTTCTGCTCACTTTTGCTCATGATTTGCTTCCTCCTTTGCTTTATAATTTGAGCTATAACAGATGGCAGAGAATGAGTGTGGCTCATTTTTGGCAGGACTTTATCAGCAGGAATTCTTTGGGCATAGGAAAAGGCTGTATTTCTGAAGCATGGATTTATGTTTCTTCTGCCATCAATTTTAAGCACTTTAGCAATTTACAACACCATTGCACTGATTATTAGCTCGAGGTTTTCTAGAGTCTGTGGGAATGTCCAGTTAACCTGTAAACCATCTTGCAGCTAAGCTCATTGATTTTCCCAGAAGAAACTGTCCCTGTTTTCTAGATCCAGAGTCATGAGAGGCAATCTTGTTTGAAGTCTTTCCTTTGTAGTTTTTTCTTCCTTCTTGATTTTAAGTGAGGGCAGTATGCTTCATGAGCCTGAGCGTGGGCCACAGTCCCAACCAATTAGCCCAGAGTCAACATCTTATTCCTCATTACGTTTTCTCTTCCAAGCTAAACCCTTTTGGTAACCCATATCATCTCCATTATCTTGATTCATTTGCTACTCCTTGTACATTTTGTAGTGAGCCAAGCCATAATCTTAAAAGCTGTTTGCAAAATTTTTTCCTGCCTTTCTTAATCTTTTTTTTTTAAATATGGGGAAAGATTATTTTCAAGATATAAAGTTATTGCCCAAAACAGTTGCCAACTTTTCTGATCAGCACAGGAGTTTTGACCTGCTCCGTTTCCCACCTGGGCCGGTTCACCCCTCCTTAGGCAACCTGGTGTTCCCCTGCTCCCGGGAGGTCACCTTATTGATGCCGAACTTAGTGCGGACACCCGATCGGCATAGCGCACTGCAGCCCAGAACTCCTGGACTCAAGCCATCCTCCGGGCTCAGCCTTCCGAGTAGCTGGGATTACAGACGCATGCCACCGCGCCCGGCAGTTGCCAACTTTTCTAAGTATGAAGTAATCATACAGTTCTGCATCGCTTTAACGAGGCAAACAACAAGAATATTTTCTTTTAAGGACAATGGTAGAAAGTAAAATAAGTTGAAATGTTAAAAAATGGAAAAGGTAGGTGAGAATCATATTGAGGACTAACTGACTTTTACATACTGTAAGAAAGTGCAAATAATGTCTTGAACTCCAAAGGAGGCAGCATCAGCTAGGCATTCTCCTGGAGGAAGATATATGGTCAATTTCTTGTGTATTTTTCTTCTAGCTCTGTTTCTGTACCCATTTGTACGTGATACATTCTTAATCAAATTATCAGCTTCTTACTGTAGTAGTTACATTGACTATCTTTGTTTCTATACTCATTTATTCCCTAATACTTAGAATTTCAGCTTCCTTTTTTGTGACTAGTCTATCCAACATCTTTTTTTTTAATTTAATTTAATTTTAGTGTAAAGGTGAGGTATAGAGGGGTTTATTCAATATCTTTTGTGGCTTCCTGATTTACAAACAAAATGTATTTTTGGTCTGTTGTGTGGTCAAGCATTTGTCTGACTTTTGTTCCAGGTTCTGGGGAAGGAAGAATCAAAATACTGATTTTACTAGATAACAGGAGGATCTTTGCTGTTCTTCATTTCCTTGGATCATGTCTGAGCTCATCCTAGTGGGATGACATGATTTGGGATGCAAGCAAAGGAAAGATGGATGATGAGATTAGAGGGTTGAGACTTTAAGCTATCCTCACATATAAGGGAAAAAAGTGGCTGAAGATTAAGTTGAATCATATGACTCATGTCATTAGTGAATCATTTGTGTGCAATGAAACTCTAATGAACTGTGTCTTCTAAAGCTTAGGACAACTTCCTAGTTAGTAAATACATTGATATAATGGGAGTGGTGTACCCAGAGTTCTTGGATAGAGGACAGGAAGACTTTATATTGCAGACTCTCTGAGACCATACCTTACATGTCTCTTTGTGGTTTGATTTATGTCCTGTGTTGTAAATCTGGAGTTGTTAGCTTATCACTTTGAGTTTTATGTGTTGGAGTAGGAGTCATAGGAACCTCCTGGATTTATAGTTAGTTGGTCAGAAATGTGGGTGGCTTGAGAACCTCACTTGGAGCTGTTTTCTGAAGTAAGAGTAGACTTTCTCTGGACTGTGCCCTTTAACTTGGGGGTCTATTATTATCAGAATTGAATTATTTCATAGTTTTGCAGTTGGAGTTGAAACACAATGCAGACTGTGTTAATCATGACAGTGTTAACCACCTCCTTCTTCCTGGAATTTTCTCCCTACCTTGGTTTCTGTTTTCTGTAATTATGCTTTTTTCATTCCCTTTTGCAGTTTTTTTAAGATATCTCTTTTTATTCTTTTTGTTGTTGTTGGTTGTGGGACTTGAACTCTAGGCTTGGGCGCTGTCCCTGTGCTCTTCACCTCAGGCGAGGTCTCTACCACTTGAGCCACAGCACTGCTTCCGGTTTCCTACTGGTTTATTGGGGATAAGAGTCTCTCGGACTTTCCTGCCTGGGTTTGAACCACGATCCTAAGATCTCAGCCTCCTGAGTAGCTAGGATTACAGGCATGAACCACCCTCGCCCAGCTCCTTCTTTTTTTTATGTGATTCTCTTAATTTGCTATTGTTGTTGCTAAACCACGGCCTTGGAGAAATCTGAATCATGACTATATTGTTTTAAATTTTTTCTTTATAAACGTACAGTAAAGTTCACATTTCAGGCAATTATACATGCACAGATCCTTGTTATCACCCCCAGGATGTGGTAGGAGCACCACAGAGGCTTCTCTCCTCTGCCTTTTATATTCCAGACCTCCCATGATCCTTGGAAGCCAATCATACATTCTTCATTACTATAGTTTTGCTCCCCTGTCCTTTCCACCCCAGAATAGTATTTGTAAAAGAAATGTAATTCTTTAAGACTACCCTTTCTCTTTTCATAATATATTTGCTTGCACATTTTATCTCCCACTAATCGGAGGGTATCTCCTCAATCTCTTATGCTGAGCACTTTTTCCTGAATATCAGAACTTTCATGCTCAACTTCCAGATGGACAGAGTCACTTTAATGTGCCTTTAGTGTCTTCTAGCATCAGGTGGTCTTTGGCCAAATTTTCTAATCTTGTCTGTTTGTCTTGACTTAAATATTGTGCTTTTGGCAATAATGGAATGCACAGATTCCATTTCTCCAATCTCCTTCCTACAGAGAATAAAATGATAAGATTTCGATATTAGAAAGGCTGGGAAGGATGATTCTTTCTGGTTTGGTAGATGGATTAGGGGATGAGTTTGAAAGAAATGAAAATTGGTTTGGAAAGTGTAGCAATGGTTCTGATGAGAGATAATGATGACTATCTGAGTTACTGAAATTAAGAAGATGGTAGAGAATGTTCAGGGAACATTTCTTCCCTTTTCCTGATGGTAACAGGCCTCATTTCTTTTCCTGAAATGCCTATGCTTTGTTTTCCTCTGTATCCCTCCAAGGTTCTGAGAATGAAGCTTCTATTCTGACTTGCTTGCCACAATTGTGTGTATGTACCATTGGCAATAATATTTCCATGGCTTATTCTGCACTAAATCATGAGTACATCCTATTGCTCATGTCATAGAAGAAGCTTCCCTCCGTTTTTATTTTGAATTGGGGTTAAGATACCAGTATTTAAGATAACAGGGATCTTGTGTTAAACAATTCAGGCTTCAGACATTAGTTTTTTTTTTTTTTTGGTATTATGCTGGTGTGGAACAGATTTCTCAACTTCAACAACATTTTACATAAGAGATTCTTTGTTATATATGTGTGGGGTCAAGGGTCCTATGTACTGTAGTGGGTCCAGCAGCATTCCTACTGGCTTCTTCCTCTCCAGATTGAGAATCACTAATGTGGCAGAGTAATAAAATAGGAAAAATCATAATTG